CAGACTACTTCAACCAGAGAAATCAGCCATAGCAGAGCACCTGAGGAACCAACCTAGACACAGCATTTTATTATTTGAGAACACAGAAATGCTGGACCACTCCAACAACCACCATGTCAGGCTACGCAGAGAAGCCATTGAAATCCACAAGAAGCAGGTGGACAGTTCCAACAGAAAGGAGGAAACCATGAAAAGGAACAAAATCTGGCTGCCAGTATTAAAAAACTAAAATTACAACAGCACAACAACAGAGAGGAAACAAACAAGGACATCTAATCACCTCTCAACAAAAGTTTGCTCTAGGCAATGTCAGGCCATTATATGCTAATCAAGGTGGTCAGTTGAAACATTCACCCCTAGCTCCAGCCGACAAGAGTCCTTTGTCCCACCCTGGACATTATTCCACAGATATATAAACCCAATTTTCCTAGTTCCAACAGACCTCACTACCTCTCAGGATGCTTGCCATAGATGCAGGCGAAACAAAAGGAGAGAATGCCTCTAGGACATGACCATATCGCCCGGAAAAACCTGCAACAACTCTATTATTATTATTATTATTATTATTATTATTATTATTATTATTATTATTATTATTATTATTTAAAAGGCAAACAATACAATAACATTTTCACTGCCAGCTTAAAAGTGAGCAACTGACCTCTCCTTTCCTCAAAAGCTTGTGGGAGATTGGGCTACAACTTCCAAATCCCCCCAAATGCCTTGGTAACCGAGAGATTTTGGAATCCGTAGTCCAAAAAAGCAACTTTAGATAAAGTTCTTTTTTGGGAGGGTATTATAGATTTCCTCATGGGTCCACTTTAATGCATAAATAATGTGTCTCCAAAGCCTGAGGCCGAAGGGCTTTTCTGTGTGCCAAACCCCTGACACTAAGGCCCATATGGTCCCTCCGTGATGCTGCAGGTCTTGCTGTTGTCTTCTCCGGGCCTAGAAGAATTCTACCGCCATTGCTTGCAGTCTATTGATGATCCCAGTGACCAGAGGGAGATTCCTGAGCACCCAGCAAAGCAAATTAAGGTGAGCACCTTGAAAGTTGAGGAGCGGGGAGCATACCTGGATGCCGGCATTAAAGGTGAGCAGAACTGTAAAGCCCAGATTCCTTAATTGATGGGAGAGGCCACGCGGGGATGCCTGGGCAATGTCTTCATGGAAGGTTTACGCCGCAACTCTTTTCTGCTTCTCAACAATCAATACAACTGGTGTTGATTGAAAAGACAGAACAGGATCTTCACACTATTGTTATCAGAACTGAAGTTTTCTTACCAGTGCATCCTTTAAATAGGATCAGTAAACAAGATCAGTCAAGCTAGTTTGTGGCAGCCAAAGTATAGCAACTACTTTCAAAGTAAGGACTGAACAATCAAACAGGAAATAACACTTTCAAACCAGGAACAGAATATTTTTATATATTTTGTTATATACTGTAATTAAGGGATTTTCTGCAAAATGGTAAGATAAATGATATGATGATGATGATGATGATGATGATGATGATGAATGTGATTTATATCCTGCCTCCCCTTCCCAAAATGAAAGTACATTTTGCACCTTACAGTTCTGTTGGCCCACAACAGCCCTCTTGATGTTATAGTAAGTGGCTCATAAATCTAAACATTGCATCAGTCGTTATGAGACAATTGACCGTGGTTCCCAGCTCCACCTCCTCTCGACTCCTCTCCCTTATCTCCCAGGTGTTTGTTTGGTTTCCACTCACAGTTTGCAGCTGCCTCCTCTTAGTTCCCATCACCTGGCTGAATAGTTAATGGATGCTGTATGCTGAAATAGCTTATATTAATA